GTTCTACACTAATCATATACACTTCTTACCGTTGCCATCAACTGGCAAGGTGGAACAGAAAAGGGGAACAAGCCCCAGTACCAAGAGGTTATCTTAGTATGCCTCTTCACTAGCTCCACAGCAGCTTATTTTTCAAACTTGTTACTCAACAGAATGCCTACACAGAGGACATTCCCTAATTACTCAAAATTCATATAAACTCATGAAATTTGTATTATACTTGCATTGATTCAACCACTTACCTCAACCCACTTGGTTCAGGACCAAGGGTAATCCACCGACTCACTGTTCGGGGTTCCATTCAACGTACGACAACCTACACAATCATGTACCATCATCAGTACACGTCAATTTCCATCAGAACGCGAAAACCACAAAATCCTCCCCTCCCTCAAGGAGGTTCGGCCATTGAGATTTATTTTTCTAAATTTTCTTTCTCATTTTATTACTCATCCTTAGGTTGCCATAAGGCTAATTCAAGTGTCATTTTTCTGTTTTACGTCTTTTAAGCATCGTTTCGCTAAATAGTTCCCTCTAGGTTCATTTCAACACTTAACACTTCCAATTATTTTTCTATAGGTTTTCCAACCTTCCAACCACCACACAACCCATCTAATTTCCATTTAATTACACAAAACATCATCCCAATTATTTTTTCAACACAATTCCTCACTTTTCTCAATATGGCCTAATTATGCCATATGAAATCCCAAAGGATTTCTTTGAATTTTCAACCATTCCACATCTCATACAACCTCATATTATCAACATACAATCATTCAACAACTCACCAATCAAAGCCCAACAAAATTTCAAACTTCAAAATCATGACCACCAAAATTCTTCTAAGTTAAAATCCATTTTTTCCACCAAAATTTTTCATGGCATTTCTAGCTTTAATACATCATTCTAACGCATTATTATCTAATACACATTTTTCATTTGAGCACTCTATCATCACATATCAACCATGCAAGGTCTAGGGTTCATGAAAATAAACTACAATCAAACCATGTAAATGAGATGGAAATACACTCACAATCAAGGCTAGATGCTAACCCAAGACTCCTCCAAGCAATGGAAGCTCAAATGACTCCATGAAACTCCATTTTCCCCCAAATTTTCGCAGCTGATTTTGCCCAATAACTCACCAATGAGAGGGTTTCAAGGCTTAAGAGTAGTACCAATGTGTTTAGAAAGTGTTTTCCATCAAGATTCAAGACAAAAATCGTTGGATTCGGTGGAGAAACGATCAAGTTATGGTGAATTGAAAATTTTGCATAAAAATGGTGATGGAGGGGCTGTTTGTGCGGTTTTGCAAGGGGGAGAGAAGAGTGAGATGATGATGAATAGTAGAAAGATGATGTGGCTTAAGTGGGGTTTAAGTGGGGTGGGTCCCACGCCCCCACGCGCGACGTAAAATTCATCCGACTTTCTCTAAACGTACAAAAATTTACAACCTATTTAGAAACTCTATTTTTTAACATTAACTATTCTCCTTTAATTATACTTGCTCATATGAATCCGGAGTTTTCCGGTCATTCGGAGAAAACACTGTTTTAAGCTACTACGCGCGTCGTTGGCACGCTTCCCCAAAATGACTTAATTCCATCAAATTTTATCAAAAATCATATTTCCTAACTCAATAAACCATTTATAACTCATATTTGAAACCTAGAGCTCAAAACTCAATCGGCACATTTTACGGTGCAATTGTACCGCGGTATTTTTACCAGCGAAAAACACTATTCACTGATTTTTTTGAAACTTGCCTGTCCACTCAATTTTTCGTTCTGAATCCATTTCTACGGCTATTTCTATCATATGAGACCTTCTACTCAATTTTTACCTTCCTACGGTTGCGTGTTGGCTAATTACCGTTTTGCCATTTCTTTGTATTTTGGCTTAAATCTTAGGATTTTCACTAATCCTTCACTTAAATACTCATTTAATATTTTATCACTTAATTTAGAATTGTGAGGTGTTATATACCTCTTTTACGTTTCTGCAAGAGCAACGGTGGCCGTTCCTCTGTCAATTTCTCCTCCAAGGTATGGTTTCAATCGCTGCCCATTCACCTTGAAGCTTATGTCAGAATCAAGTGAACTAATTTCCACGGTACCATAAGGACGTATTTCTTTCACCAAAAACGGTCCTGACCATCTAAACTTAAGCTTTCCTGGAAAGAGTCGCAACCGGGAATTGTACAGCAGAACATGTTGTCCAACCTTGAAGTCTCTGCCCAATATTTTTCTGTCATGCCACTTCTTGGTTTTCTCTTTGTAGAGGCTGGCACTTTCATACGCTGATAATCTGAATTCATCTAATTCATCCAGCTGTAATAGTCTCTTCTCACTTGCCGCTTTTGTATCAAAATTTAAGAACTTGACAGCCCACAAAGCCTTGTGTTCCATTTCCACCGGCAAGTGACAAGCTTTCCCGAACAACATCTGAAACGGAGACATGCCAATGGGTGTCTTGAAAGCGGTCCGGTATGCCCATAGTGCATCATCTAGCTTGCGAGCCCAGTCTTTCCAGGAGCTTCCCACTGTTTTCTCAAGGATACGCTTCAATTCTCGGTTTGATATCTCCACTTGCCCACTGGTTTGTGGATGATATGGTGTGGCAATGCGGTGCCTGACGCTGTATTTTGCAAGCACATACTCAACTTGTCTGTTGCAGAAATGTGTGCTTTCATCACTGATCATTGCTCTTGGTACTCCATACCTCACAAAAATGTTTTTCTTGATGAAGTTGATCACGACTCTAGAATCATTGGTAGGCAAAGCAACTGCTTCCACCCATTTAGAGACGTAATCCACCGCCACCAATATATATTTATTCCCGTATGAAGTGGGGAAAGGCCCCATGAAGTCAATGCCCCAAACGTCGAAGATTTCAACTTCCATGATGTTGTTCAGTGGCATTTCATGTCTTTTTGATATGTTCCCCGTTCTTTGGCAACGATCACAAGATTCCACGAATTTTCTGGCATCTTTATATAAAGTGGGCCAATAGAACCCACTCATAAGAACTTTTGCAGCCGTTCTTTCTCCCGCGAAGTGGCCTCCGTAGTCTGAACCGTGACAGTGCCATAGAACATCTTTCATCTCTTCTTCAGGGATGCATCTTCTAATGACTCCATCAGAACATGTGTAGAATAAGAATTGTTCATCCCACAAGTATCTTTTCACATCACGCAGAAACTTTTTCCGTTGTTGCCATGAAAACTCCTTAGGAATTGTCCAAGCCGCTTTGAAATTTGCAAAGTCTGCAAACCATGGTGGAGTGTTTACTGCAAGAGCTTGCTCATTCAAAAACCATGGCAGTGTGCTGACTGAGAGGACTTGTTCATCTGGAAACTCATCTCTGATTATCAACCCTGAACTGTCTTGGAGTTCTTTCTCTTGAAGTCTAGAGAGATGATCAGCTACCCGGTTCTCTACTCCCTTTTTGTCTCTGATTTCTATCTCAAATTCTTGAAGTAGAAGCATCCACCTAAGTAGTCTTGGCTTAGCATCTTGTTTAGTCAACAAGTATTTCAAGGCAGCATGATCAGTATATACAATAACTTTAGATCCTAGCAAATAGGTTCAAAATTTATCAAAAGTATATATAACAGCTAGCAATTCTTTTTCAGTAGTAGTGTAATTCATTTGTGCTTCATTCAGAATTTTACTAGCATAATATATAACATGCAAGAGTTTATCTTTTCTTTGACCTAAGACTGCACCTATAGCATAATCACTAGCATCACACATTAATTCAAAAGGTAATTCAAAATTAGGTGAAGTAATAATAGGTGCAGTAGTCAATTTTTCTTTCAAGAGATTAAAAGAAATCAAACAATCATTTTCAAAGTTGAACTCTTCTTCTTTGGCCAATAATTTGCAGAGTGGCTTGGCTATTTTTGAGAAATCTCTTATGAAGCGCCGATAGAAACCTGCATGTCCAAGAAAACTACGCACACTACGCACATTAGAGGGAGGGGGAAGTTTTTCTATAAGTGAGATCTTTGCTCTATTAACTTCAATCCCTTTCTCTGAGATCTTATGGCCTAAGACTATTCCATCTCTTACCATAAAGTGGCATTTTTCTCAGTTGAGTACTAAATTACTCTCTTGGCATCTCTGCAAAACACAAGCTAAGTTAGTGAGGCAAACATCAAAAGATGAACCGAAGACAGAAAAATCATCCATAAATATTTCAATAAAATTTTCAATCATATCAGAGAATATGGATAACATACACCTTTGAAATGTGGCGGGTGCATTGCATAACACGAAGGGCATACGTCTGTAAGCAAACACACCATAAGGACAAGTGAATGTTGTCTTCTCTTGATCTTCTGGAGCAACCACTATTTGATTGTATCCGGAATAGCCGTCAAGGAAACAATAAAATGAATGTCCCGCTAGCCTCTCCAACATTTGATCTAAGAATGGTAGAGGGAAATGATCTTTTCTTGTAGCGGCATTAAGTCTCTTGTAGTTGACGCACATTCTCCAGCCGGTAATAGTCCTTATAGGAATCAATTCATTGTTTTCATTACGTACCACTGTAATCCCTCCTTTCTTTGGAACTGTTTGTACCGGACTCACCCATGCACTGTCAGAAATTGGATAGATCATATCAGCATCCAAGAGCTTCACGACTTCTTTTCTCACAACTTCTTTCATAGTTGGATCCAATCTTCTCTGTGATTGTCTGACTGGCTTCACATTATTCTCCATTAATATTTTATGAGTGCAAAAAGATGGGTTTATTCCTTTCAAGTCTATAATAGACCATCCTATAGCTGTTCTGTGCTCTCTTAACATTTTTAGTAATCTTTCTTCTTCGGCGGTTGACAAATTTACATTGATGATCACCGGGTATGTCTTGCTTTCTCCAAGAAATGCATATTTCAAAGTAGGAGGAAGCTCTTTCAATTCAACCTTTGGTGCTCCTTTAATAACATCATCAACCTTCTTTTCTAACTTTTCAACCTATTATTCTCCTTATGTTGCTTCAGTTGCATTTTTTAGTAGATCTTCTTCTAATGACTCCAATTCCATCAGTGGTTGGAGTATTTCATCGACTGTATCTAACACTGCATCATTGATTATATCAACCTTGAAGCAATCTCCTCCGTCGGAAGGATGTTTCATGGATTCAAGAACATCAATCGTTACGGTCTCATCATTAACTCGTAACATCAACTTGCCTTGCTCTACATCAATCATAGCCCTTGCAGTGGCTAAGAAGGGTCTTCCCAAAAGTAAGGGAATTTCAACATCCTCTTCTATGTCTAAGATGACAAAATCCGCAGGGAAAATAAATTTAACAATCTTTACCAATACATGTTCAATGACTCCATCTGGTCTCGTGGTAGATCTGTCAGCTAACTGTAGTGAAACTTTAGTCGGCTTCAATTCATGAATTCCCAGAGCCTTGCAGATGGATAGTGGCATAAGATTAATACTAGCTCCCAAGTCACATAGTGCCTTTCCCACATCAATGTTGCCAATTTCTATGGGAATGCTAAAACTTCCAGGATCTTGGAGTTTTGGAGGTAACTTCTTCTGAATTATAACACTGCATTCTTCTGTCAAAGTCATTGTCTCACATTCTTTCAGTTTACGGTTTCTTGATAAGAGATCTTTCATAAACTTTGCGTAATTTGGCATACTCTCCAAGGCTTCAGCAAATGGAATATTGATTTGCAACTTCTTGAAAATGTCAAGGAACTTGGAATACTGCTGCTTTTTGACTTCCTCTCTGAACCTCTGCGGATATGGAATCTTTGCATAAGGTGAGAGTTCCAATGGCTTTTCTTGTCTTTCTTGAGCTTTCTTTTTCTCCCATTTGAACTCTTTCTTTTCAGGAACTGTTTTTCGTGCAACGGATTCTTTCTCAACTTCCTTATCTTTTTCTTCTTCAATTGCAGGTTCTTCGGCTTTCTTTTTCTCAACTGAAGGCTTGATCACAAGTTCAATTACTATCCCACTTCTAGTGGTAATGGCCTTACAGTGCGCATTTGGGTTAGTGTCTGTATTACACGGAAAAGTGCCTGGAACTCTTTCAGAAATTTGCGTGGATAATTGCCCGATCTGAGTTTCAAGATTTCTGATTGATGCTTCTTGATTTCTCATTGCAGTTCGGGTTTCTTGCATAAAGGAAGTTGTCTCATTCCTAAAAGTCTCTGAACCTTGGATGTAGTCATTAGTTGTTCTTGAGAGTTGTGTCAAGGCTTTCTCCAGCTCAGAAGGATTACTTTGTGAAGGTTGTGACTGTTGTGGAATAGGTGGGTTGAGTTGGTGCTGAGTTGACTTATAATTGAACGCAGGGTGATTTTTTCACCTTGGATTATAAGTATTACCATATGGACTGCTTTGATTTTTCTGGAAGTTTCCTGAATTCCTCTGATCATTCCAGATCCCATTCACTAATGTTGCTTCATTTCCTCCAAGAGCTCCACAATTGGTGTTCTCATGCTCTCCACCACAAAAGTCACAAACTAGTGGAGTTGGCTGTGTCTGGAATGCTGATGCTTGAAACTTTTCATACATTGATGTCAGGGATGTCAATTGTTGAGACATTGCCTTCTGTGCAGCCAACATAGCATCATTGCTTTCTAGCTGATATATCCCTTTCTTTGGTTGTGTCGGAACACTTTCATTCTCTAGAGAAGCCATAGATTCAAATAGCTCCAATGCTTGAGTAGGAGTTTTTTGTCTCAATGACCCTCTTGCTGCGGCATTAATGACCATTCTGGAAGCAGGTGTTATTCCATTGAAGAATATTCGTACCTTTGGTCCAGGTTGCACTTCATACTGAGGACATCTTCTTTGCAAATCTTTGAATCGTCTCCATGCAGCACAAAGAGACTCCCCTTCCTGTTGGGTGAAATTTGAAATTTCATTGACCAATTGATTATATTTGGTTATGGGGAAGAAGTTAGCCAAGAATTTGGCGGCTAAGTCATCCCATGAAGCAATGCTTCCAGTAGGTTGTTGATGAAGCCACTTAAGAGCTTGATCTTTCAAAGAAAATTGAAACAATCTCAGACGGATGGCATCATCTGCTACCCCGTTCATCTTCACTGTGTCACATATCAACAAGAACTTATCGAGATGAATATGAGGGTCTTCTTCGTCACCACCAGCAAATTGATTTTGATGAACTACAGAGAGTAGGGCTGGCTTAATCTCAAAGTTGTTTGCAGCAACATTTGGTCCGATGATGCATGAGGTATTTCTTGGCACGCTCGGAGTGAGGAATACATCCATCAACTCTTCTGGCGGATTTTTGTTGTTGTTGTTGTTGTTGTTGTTGTTATTCTCTGCCATTATTTCTTCCTCTCTTATCACAGAGCTTGATGCTTCTTTTTCTTGCTGTCTTCTTTCTTTGGCTACCCTTCTGTTTCTTTTTGCTGTTTTCTCTATCTCCGGGTCGAATTACAAGGAATCAGTGTCAATGGCACCTCGCATAAACCAGAAATTAGAATATAAAAATAAAAAATAAAAACTAAATTTTATTAACAAAAATTAAATAACAGAAAATAAGGTCCAATCTACAGAATTAATAGCTACTATTAATGTTGAAATAATAATCCCCAATAACGGCGCCAAAAACTTGTTGCTACTCACGGCAAGTGCACCGATCGTACAAGTAATATAATGATTGAATAAGAGATAACTCCCACGAGGATTATGGTTCAAGCACTAATTCACTATTGCAACTTAAGTTGGACAATCAAAAGTGTATTTGGGAACAGGATTTGAATTGCAAAATTAAAATATTAAATATTAAAGCTAATTACTCGCAAGAATTAAAAGAAAACAAGAAATTAAAGATCTGAATAAACTGATAAAATAAAAACGTAGCTAGGGTTTCGATTTCCTTCAATCTCTTTATTATGTTTGAATTCCTTCTTTACGTTAATCGTCCTTAGTATCAATCTAATCAATTCTTTCGCATGTTATTAGAGCTCAATCCCTTGTTACCCTAAAACCTTTACAATCTTGAAAGAACCCTAGTTTCTCGGTTATTTCCCAAGAATGCAAGCATTAAGTTCAAGAATCTTAAAGATTACGCAAACCCTATGTCTATCCCTAGAATCATAACGTTTACGATGAAGTTATCAGATATGGATCACACACCAACATCCCTATTGTCATGCATTTACCTATGATCAATATACAAGATTCAAGCCTATATAAAGCATTAAAAACAGATAACTTCATTCATGACATAAAGGAAAATTAACATAGCGAATTATTCAAAACATAATAAAGATCTTGAATTCCATCTAACCCTAACTACTTAAGAAACTAGCCAGACATAGCAAAATCAAGAACAAAAGACAATAGAAAAGCTCACCCAAACTCCATAGGTGATTGGTGAACCTTCAATATCTCCAGTGAAAACTTGACGTTGATCCGTCTCCGCCGATCACGAACATGAATCTGATGAATCTTCCGCGTTCCCTCCGCCTCCAAGCACCCAAGAGTTGTTTTGCAATGTAAAAGTTATGTATTTCTGGTCCCCAATGGTCCTTTTATTGGCCAAGAGTTCGTATCCCAATAGAACACGTTGACTGGGCCTAAGTTGGATCTGTCGGGGCGCTTAAGCTTGCTGTAGCGCGCTAAAGCTCCCTAGGACGGTGATTTTAGATTCGCGTTGCGCGCTTAAGCGCGACGGAGGGCGCTTAAGCGCGCTCCTCGCGACAAAACTTTCTTCTTGTGGCGCACTTAAGCCCTGAGTTGGGGGCTTAAGCGCCCAGAGGCAGTAGATATTTGCGTTTTAAGGGAGCTTAAGCTTCGAAATGGGGGCTTAAGCTCCCTCTGCTAACAACTTGATAAGATCTTCAATCTTTTTGTTTTCACCTTGATTCATCTTCTTTTCTGATTTGATCTCTCTTTATCCAAATCTTCATATTTGAATCTCTTTGTCATCAAATCCTTTAAAATTAGCAAAGATAATTCATTTAATTAATAATTCATAAAATTCATGATTATCTTATTAAAACCCTAGTTTTTGACTTGTTCAATTAGATAATTTACATTATTTTAGTCCATAAAACAAGATAAACTAAAGGTTTATCAGTGTCCCTTAGGAATTTGTTAGTGGACATTAATGAGTTTAATGTTTTTAAGAAGTAGTCATTATTATGTTTGGATTTCCTAAGTTGGTCATTAGTATTCATAATCATTTGTTATTGTTTATAAATAGCTCATTGTAACTCTTGTAAAGTGGCTTGGCAGAATAAGTAATATAATAGAGGTATATTCAGAGTATTGTGTGTGTATCTTGTGTGTGAGAAAAACACCTTTAGAGGACCTGCGAACTACAAATTGGTATCAGAGCTATGGAGAGTGTGACCACTTCCAGTATGCCATTGCCCTGCCTGACAAAGGCGAATTATGTGAGTTGGAGTATTCAGATGAAGGCGTTGCTCAGATCCCAAGATTCTTAGAATGTTATTCATGACGGGTTTGCTGAACCTGCAACTATCGCAGGATACTCAGCAGCTCAAACCAAGGTGTTGAAAGAGACGCGTGCGAAGGACAAGGCGGCATTATACATGTTATTCCGAGCTGTAGATGATTCCGGATTTGAAAAGATAGCAAGTGCAACAACGTCAAAGGAAGCGTGGGACATCTTCGAGAGTGTCTATAAAGGAGCTGACCGAGTTAAGCAGGTCCGACTTCAGACTCTGCGTGGCGAGTTGGAAGGAATGAAGATGAAAGATTCAGAGGGTGTATCCGAGTTCATCAGCTGAGTTCAAGCCTTGGTGAATCAGTTAAAGCATAATGGTGAGGAATTATCTGAGACTAGAGTTGTTGAAAAGATTCTAAGGTCGCTGACAGACGACTTCAAAAACGTGGTATGTGCAATTGAGGAGTCTAAGGACTTGGCTACGCTCTCTGTTGAAGAGCTAGCGGGTTCTCTTGAGGCGCATGAACAACGCAAGAAAAAGAAGAAGGAAGAGACACTGGAGCAAGCACTCCAGTCAAAAGCAAATATCAAGGAAGAGAAGGCGTTGTATTCTCAGAACGTCCGAGGTAGAGGTCGTGGCCGAGCTGCACGTGGAAATGGCCGAGGTCATGAGGTGAGAAATGAAGAAAGAACTGAGCCGAGTCAGCAAAACTGGAGAGGTAGATGACGTGGCCGAGGTGGAAGAGGCCGGTGGTCGAATCAAAATAATGTAGAATGTCATAAGTATGGGAAGTATGGTCACTACGCAAGAGATTGCAACTCAGACAGGTGCTATAACTGTGGCCGAGTTGGACATTTCACGAAGGATTGCCGAGATGAAAGGAGAGTTGACGGGACGTCAAACTTTGCTGCAGAAGGAGAGATAAGAGATGAAGGAGTTTTGATGTTGGCACATGGTGAAACGAGTTCGAAGAGTGAGACAGAGTGGTACTTGGTTACTAGTGCCAGTAATCACATGTGTGGTTACAAACATCTGTTCAAGGAGTTGAAAACGGTGGAAGCCGGACATGTCTATTTTGGAGACGCGTCCAAAATTGATGTAAAAAGTCGAGGTACGATCTGTTTCTTGCAAAAGGATGGACGAGTTGGTACAATTCGGGACGTGTATTACGTGCCTGAGCTCAAAAGCAATATTCTGAGCATTGGATAGTTGATGGAAAAGGGCTACTCGGTTCTAATGACAGACCGAGTTCTGCTATTGAAAGATAAACAAGGGCGTCTGATAGCCCGAGTTCAGATGGAGAAAAACATAATGTACAAGTTGAGTTTGAGGAGCATGAAGGTCGGCTGTCTGCAAGCCGGGGTAGAAGATAAGATGGATTTGTGGCATCGACGGTTTGGACACCTTCATTACGGTGGTCTGACCGAGATGATGAAGAAAAACATGGTAGTGGGACTACCAAAGAATAACTCTGAAGGAAAATTTTGTGAGGACTGCGTATTGGGAAAACATACAAGGAGCCCGTTCCAAAGGATGGCGAGATACTGAGCTAGGAAGCCTCTGGATTTGATATATACCGACCTGTGTGGACCCATTACTCCAGGGTCCTTCAGTGGTAAGAAGTATTTTGTAACTTTTACTGATGATTTCAGTCGAAAGACTTGGGTGTATTTTTTGAAGGAAAAATCCGAGGTGCTAGAGGCATTTAGGAGTTTTAAAGTAATGATAGAAAATGGTACTGGGAGGTATATCAAATCGGTCCGCTCAGACCGAGGTGGGGATTACGTGTCAACAGCTTTCAAGAAGTATTGTGAAGAACATGGGATAAGGCGGTTCCTGACCGCACCGTACTCGCCCCAGCAAAATGGAGTAGCTGAGAAGAAGAACCAGACTATCCTGGATATGGTCCGATCTATGTTGAAAACGAAGAACATGTCGAAAGAGTTTTGGGGAGAGGCCGTACAATGTGCAGTGTACGTGCAGAGCCGATGTCTGCACTCAAGTGTGAATGATAAAACTCCACAAGAAGCATGAAGCAGGTCTAAAGCCATCAGTGGCCCATTTCAAGATTTTTGGTAGTGTTGCATATGCACACATACCAGATCAGTTGAGAACGAAACTTGAAGATAAGAGTAAGAAGTTTGTATTCATTGGTTATGATGAGAAGACAAAGGGGTACAAGTTGTTGGATCCCGTCAATAAAAAGGTGTTGATAAGCCGAGATGTGAAGGTGAATGAAGAAGATGCTTGGGACTGGGGTTGTCCATCCGGGGTGAATGTTGAACCCGGGAAAATGACAATTGAGGTCGGACAACTTTCGTCCCATATCCCAGCTATTCATGAGATCTCTGATGATGAAGAGCAGAGACAACCGAGAATGAGGAGCCTACAAGACTTGTATGACTCAACTAACGAAGCACACTTGGTATGTTTGTTGTCAGATTCTGAAGAAGTGAGTTTTGAAGAAGCAATCCGAGATAAGAAATGGCAATCAGCCATAGAGGAGGAGATTAATGCAATAGAAAAGAACAAGACGTGGGAGTTAGCCGAGCTGCCCAAAGGAAGTCGGCCCATTGGTGTGAAATGGGTGTACAAGAAGAAAATGAACGCTAAGGGGGAGATCGAAAGATATAAATCCCGGCTAGTGGTAAAAGGGTATAGGCAGAAGGCCGGCATTGACTATGACGAGGTGTTCGCACCCGTAGCAAGAATGGAGACAATCAGGCTGTTGATCTCTCAAGCAGCCCAATTCGGATGGCCGATCTATCAGATGGATGTGAAGTCGGCATTCTTAAATAGAGTACTCGAAGAGGAGGTGTATCTGGAACAACCTCCGGGATTCATGAAAGCCGGACAAGAAAGAAAAGTGTTGAGACTGAAGAAAGCTTTGTATTGATTGAAGCAGAC